GGGGGGAGATCTGATGGAGAAGCTCGGTTGCTCTGACCAGAAGCACATTCCGCACATGCCTTTCTCCAGATTGTGTCCCAGGTTACCAGAGCCAGCTGCACCTGGGAAAGTGCAGACGTGTTGCTCCTAATAAATAATTGGATTTCTTTTGAAACTTGGCTCAAGGCTCATGAATTAATTAGGAAGGAAGGTAGGAAAGAAGGAAGGAAGGCAGGAAAGGACAGCGGGAAGGTAGGTAGGCAGGCAGGAAGGGCCATGGGGTCACAGTGGTTAGAATGCAGCATTGCAGGCTAATTCTGCCGACTGCCAGGACTCTGCCTTCCATCCTTCCAAGGTCGGTCAAATGAGGACCCCAATTCTTGGGGGGCAAGAGGCTGACTTTCTAAACCACTGGGAAGCACTGGGAAGTGATATATAAGTCTAAGGGCTATAGCTACTGCTAGTGAGGGAGAAGATATGACCACGGAGGTGGATCCATGTGGCTTGATGCTTCTCTGAGAGAACCTGGGGGGGCTCCTTCAGACCTGGGGACTCCAAAGCCGAAGAAGGGAGCTTCTCCACTGGCTTGGATGAGGCCCCTCAAGAGCAACCCCCCTCCTTCCTTCCCAGGTCTACCTGCGGGAAGCCCCCTGGCCATCGGCCCAAGCCGAGATCTGCACCATCAGTGCCTACAAGACCCCCCGAGACAAGCTGCAGTGCGTCCTGAGGATGTGCTCCACCATCATGAACCTGCTGAGCTTGGCCAACGAGGACTCGGTCCCCGGAGCGGACGATTTCGTTCCCGTGCTGGTCTTTGTCCTTATCAAGGTGAGGAGGAGGAGGAGGAGGAGCTACCAAAGGGAGGGAGCTACCGAACTTCAAGGGAGTCCCTAGAGGTTGAGTTTATTTGTGGTCCTTCCTTGCATCTAATTGGACAAGGCCTTTGTAGAAGATCAGCCTTCCTTCTTCCAATCCTCCCTCCTTCCTTCCTCCCTCCTTCCCTCCATTCTTTCCTCCCCTTCTCTCCTTTCCTTCCTTTCTTCCTCTCCCTTTTCCCCTCCCTCTCTTCCTCCCTCCCTCCTCTTCCTCCTCCTTCTGTCTATCCTTATCTTCCTTCCTTCTCTCTCTCCCTTCCTTCCTGCTGGAATCCTTCTCTTTTCCTTCCATCTTTTTCTCTCGTAACTCTTCCTGCCTCCTTCCCTCTTTCTCATCTTCCTCCCTCCCTCCTCTTTCTGTCCATCCTCATCTTCCTTCCTTCCTTCCCCCCTCCCTCCCTCCCTGCTGGAATCTTTCTCTTTTTCTTCCATCTTTTTTCTCTCGTAACCCTTCCTTCCTTCCTCTCCCTGCCTCCTTCCCTCTTTCTCATCTTCCTCTCTCCCTCTGTACGTTAACAAGAAATCATAATCCCACCCAGCATCCAGCTCAACTCTCTCCTCCTTCTCCCCCTCAGGCCAACCCGCCCTGCCTCCTCTCCACCGTCCAGTACATCAGCAGCTTCTACGCCAACTCTCTCACCGGGGAGGAGTCGTACTGGTGGATGCAGTTCACTGCCGCCGTGGAGTTCATCAAGACCATCGATGAACGGAAGTGAGCCCAAGGCCAGCCGTTTCTGCTCCAGGGAGCCCCGGGGGCCACGGGAAAAAACTCCCCCACTGAATGTATTTCTCCTCTTGGGCCAGAGAGATCCCAGCGACGGAGGAGGAGAGCCTCAGTTTCCCTCTGTGTAAATACGGTATTAATCCGACTAATAGGGTGCTTTGGAGAATGACTTGGATGTGTTTCTCATATTCTTATTATTAATAATTATTATTATTATTATTTTGTTGTATCCCAAACAAAAGATTTCCACCTCTTGCTTTTTTCGTTTAGAAAACTAGCACCGTTTCCACCCAGATTCCAAAGGGGACCATGTTTTGATAAGGAATCCCGGAATCTTCCCAAGGTCTCTCTCTCTCTCTCTCTTTTTTTTTTTCCCCCCTCTCGTCACTGGGAATCTCAACGGATAAGGTGGCCTGTTCGTTTTCCTGGGATAGTTTTTACTTTTCTTTCTCAAATAATATTTAAAAAAAAAAAAAAAAAGCTTGCACTATTTTAATTTGTAAACTGGGCCATTCGTGTTAATATTCTGATGTGGGATTGGGGAAGGGGGGCATTTGGCGAGAAGAGGACCCCTCCCAGCCGAAGGGAAGAAAGAGGTTGCACGGAGCAAAGAAAGAAAACCCCCAAAAGGGAAACCTTTAAATCATGGTCAAATCACACCAATGAAAAAAAAATTTTTTGCCATTGGACACGTTCCTCCAGATCAATGCTATGACTGCCTTCAAGAATTTAAAGCTGATTTTTTATTTTGCCCCACCCTCTTCTTTTGGAAGGAGAGGGGAGGTCAAAGCCCGAGTATTTATTTAAAAATGTGAAAGGTTATTATTACTCAAACTGGAAGTTACCCAAAGTTTCTTTTTTCCCCCCTTGTGTTTTCTTTTCTTTTCTGTTTTTCTTTTCCAAACGAAATTCGAAAGAGCATTTTAGTATTTGTCTGTTGCACAAGGCAGGAAGTTAGAAACAAAAGGGATTGTGGCAAAGAAATGGTAATACACACACACACACACACACACACACAAATAAAAGTCTCGATACCTTTGCTTTTTTTTTCCTTCTGGAAGATTGTGTATAACTGTACAAATCCCAAATGAACTTTTTTCCCCCCTCCCCATGACGAAACCAGAAACTGTAATATATATTTTGATTATTCATATTAAAAAAAAGGAAAAAAAAAACATTCAGCAGGTGTTTGGGCGAAGTCTTTCATGATTGGGCGCTTCGTGCGCGTTTCATTTCGAGCATCCGAGGCTTTTAACATCCAACAATCCGATTTGCCACAATTGGAAGTGAACAACACCCGCCGGGAGAAAAAAAAAGGTGGGGGGGACTTGCTACAATTTTACACACCATCGTTGTGACGCCGATCGAAATTCAGACGCTTGGACGCTGACTCGTATTTACGACGGTGGTAGTGTCCCAGCATCATGCAATTGCGACATTCTTTAGTTCCCCCCAAATTGCAAATCTCTATTTACATTGTTAACAGTATTGTGTCATAGATTTACCTACATTTATTTCTATACATTAATCCTTATTCCTATGTTCTGTCCACTTGTACCATTTATCTATTAGCATAGCTTTCTAATTCCTCCTTGCCTTTTAGTTCTATTGTAAGTTTGTCCATCTCAGCACCTTCTAATATTTTTTTTCTATTAACATCTCTTCGGTTTTATGATTTCCAACCCTGCGTGGGAACTATCCTCGCTGCTGTTTTATTGTATGCAATATGATGTATTGGATTTGTTTGCTAAAATTTCCCTTTAATTATTCCCAGTAGGAATAGTTTGGGTTTAAGTTCTGTTTGATGTTCTGTTATCTCCTGAAACCATCTTTGTAGCTTCCGCCCAATATTTTCTGGCTTTGGGGCATTGCCACTACATGTGAAAGAACGTTCCATCTGTCTGCTTGCATGCCCTCTTTGGCTACGTTTTTGCCAATCTTGCTGGCGCTAAATGCCATCAATAGAACATTTTATACTGGTTCGCTTTATAAGCTGTCCCAGCGTCACACAATCCCCTTTCGCAACCTTCTGACAAAGCCAAAGTCAATGGGAAAGCCAGTTTTGCTTAACGACCTTTGTAACCGGCTTAACAACGGCAGGGATTTGCTTTAACAATGGTCTTGTTTAGTGTCAGAAATTTTCAGGAGGGAGGAGGCTAAATTCGGCTGTTTGGGGGCCAAAGCGATGCAATGGGAAGGCACGATGACATCACCCTGGCACTCAAACTCAGGAATCCTAGTTAAATATCTGCTTAACGGCTTAAAGTCAGTTTAATCCTTGGCTATGAAAAACCGTCTGGGTTAGGTTGGTGGATTTAGAGCACCACCTAGTGGCCATAGTCTCTTACTACGCCTTGGTTAGTTTCTGCTCTTTAACTTTGTATTATATTTCATAAACGGGGAAAAAAAACAACCCCAAAACTAAGAGCCAAGAGAGAAAATAGAAGAAGGAATAGAAAAGGAAACTGCAATAAAATAAAAATACGGAGAGAAACAAAGATACACAAAGAATGACTCCCAATTTCTTTTACAGCAAATAGATATAAAACATAAGGCCAGCTCTTGCTCAATAGTTGCAATCTTAAGTCCATTTTTAAAAGATCTATAAATAACAGCAGTCATGATTTCATCCTTTTTTTCTTTTTCCCATAAAAAGTCCCAAGATTAAGTTCCTGCTCTTCATTTGCTACACTTGGTTTATTCTATGAATTTTTTTTTTTAATATCTAAAAGGGGTCCATATTAGAAGGGATGCAATGATTTGTTTTTGTTTTTTTTTAATTTTATTGAGTGATTCAATTTATATTTTATTATACGTTTCCTCTGAAACTATCCTAGCCTGGCCTGTGTTTTTCCCTCTGAAATTCAGAACGGCAGGGAATCAAATGGAGACGTGAGCAAGGAGTAGCGGCCATTACAATGGAAAACGTACAATAGAAAAAACAAGGACGGCGGTAATGGTGAAGCAGTTTCCTCCTTCACATTTGAAAGTTCTCTCTTTGCAAGGCTAAGCAGGTTTCTCCTTGGAAAAATTTAAAGGAAAAAACTTCACCAGTTACAACTCTTTAGAGAAAAGTACTCCATCCATGGATGGAGAGAAGGGAGGAGGGAAGGGAAGGAAGGAAGGAAGAAGAGGGAAGAGGGAGAAGGGTAAGAAAGGGAAAGAAGGTTGAAAAGGAGGGAGAGGAAGAAAGGCAGGAAGGAATGAAAAAGGGAGGAGGGAGGGGAAAGGAAGTAAGATAAAAGAAGAAGAAGGAAAGGGGAATGGAAGGAAGATAAAAGGGAAGGGGAAGGAAGATAAAAGAAGGGGAAGGGAAGAAAAATAAGAGAAGGGGAAGGGAGGGAAAGGAAAGGAAGGGAAGGGAAGGAAGAAAAAAGAAGAAATGGAAGGAAGATAGAAGGGGAAGGGATGGAAGATAAAAGGGGAAGGAAAGGAAGAAAAGGGGAAGGGAAGGAAGATAAAAGAAGGAGAAGGGAAGGGAAGGGAAGGGGTTCCTTGCTACCAGGAAGGCCTTGTGTGAAACCTGGAGGCCAGAGTGCCCTTTGCCATAGCTTGGCCTGGTCTTCCTCCCCCGATGACCTTGAATCTCTTGGATCTCTTGGATGGCCTGCATTTTTCATCCCCTTGAAGATGGCATTGGGGGACCTTTCTATCATTAAGTGGATTTACGGCAATTTCCTTATGAGTTTTCTCCCAGGGATTGTGTTATGAGAGGCACATTAAATCTCCATTAATACCTCATTATCCCACTGATAAGATTACCATGATAATGAGGCAGAAATTCTAATTGTCTCACTTCTTATTGTGCCTTTCATTAAATCATATACCTGGAAGGGTGAATTTGGGCAGGGGGGGGGGAGAAATGCATATTGAGCCAACAAGCTCAGGAAGACAGCCCAGAGGTGCCCAGGAGTCTCTCGTCTTTTGGGGCAGGGGGGGGGAGGCAGGGAAAATTTGCCCACTGGGGAAGGTGGACCACCCAGGGTAGTTGAATTCTCTTGGCCCCCAACATTTTTCATGGCAGACACTCCTTTGTTTCATTCAGAGAAGCAACTCAAGATCCCATCAGGTTGGAAAAGGAAGAAGGAAGAAAGGAAGGAATGTTATCCTTTTAGTTTAGAAAAGTTTTCAATCTGCATTTTATTGAAGGGAGGAAGAGAGGGAGGGAGGGAGGGGAGGGAATGGAAGGGAGAGGGGGAGAGGAGGAAGGAAGGAGGGAAGGCAGGAAGATGGATCATGCTTTTAGTTTAGAAAAGTTTTCAATCTGCATTTTATTCAAGGAAGGAAGAGAGGGAGGAAGGAAGGAAGGAAATAAGGAAGAAAGGGAGGGAATGGAAGGGAGAGGGAGAGAAGAGGGAAGAAGGAAGGAAAGAAGGTCATGCTTTTAGTTTAGAAAAGTTTTTAATCTGCATTTTATTGGAGGGAGGGAAGGAAGGAAGGAAGGAAAGGAAAGGAAAGGAAGGAAGGTAGGTCATGCTTTTATTTTAGTAAAGTTTTCAATTTGCATTTTATTGAAGGAAAGGAGGGAGGAAGGAAGGAAGGAAGGAAATAAGGAAGAAAGGGGGGAGGGAATGGAAGGGAGAGAGGAGGGAAGAAGGAAGGAAGGAAGGTCATGCTTTTAGTTTAGAAAAGTTTTCAATCTAAATTTTATTGGAAGAAAAGAAGGACTTAATATATTTTATAAGTAGAACAAGAAGCAATGGACAAAAAGCTTATTCAAGAGACATCCAACCTAGAACTAAGAAATTCCCTCCAAGCTCCTTTCCAACTCCTTTGTTCTGTGAAACAATCTTTTCCACGCGGCTGCCACGTAAGCCACACAGGTGCGTCCACGAGTTCGCCTTGAGCCTCCATTTTTTAAAGAAAGAAGCATCCAGCCTGTTTGAAGCTGTCCAAGGATCCGTCCTGAAGCCGCTTCTCTACCTTCTGCCTGTGAGATTTCAATAAGCCCCCCAACTTCCATCTCACAAGATGCGGTCCCACCTGCCCAGCTCAGGTGTGACTCTGAAATGCCTCCCCCACCCTCACCGCTTGCCTTCCGGCTGCGTATCTCCCCGCCAGGCATCAGGCGGGCAACCGTTTCATCCCAATCGTCTTCAGATTCCCTTGTCCAAGGCTTAATCAACATCCACCCCCTTTCCAAGTTTAAATGGGAGCATTTGTTTAATTACGTGCAAGGAAACAATACATTCCGGCCATTATCTAAATCACACTTCTATTTCCTGGATGTGATTTTCATCAGGCTCCGTTTCCTTCTCTCTCTCCCTCCCCATTGCCAGCCTTTGCTTCATTAACAGGGAAGAGTTAATGAATATAAAAGCATAAAGCCTAATTACACTTTAATTTACAATCATAATCTCATTTTGTGACTGGAGGAAATCTGTTGTGGGGGGGAAAAAAAGAAAGAAAGAAAGAGGGAAATTTAAAAAAAAAAAAACCCACCCTAAACTTTCAAGTGAATAATAAAACCAGCTCCATCTCAGTTTTGCTATCAAATCAGAGGTTTTCTGGTTTTATTTGGAGGGTTAAATCATTTGGGGGACATGGAGGAGCATCACATCAAAGCAAACTTTGCTTTGGATTCAGAAACTAAACAGGCTTCATTATTCTTTCCTTCCCTCTTTCCTTTCCTTTCCTTTCTTCTCCTCTCCTCTGCTTTTCCTTTTCCTTCCTTTCCTTCCGCATGCTGTTTTCACAATATTGTGCTCTGCGCAGGAGTCCCTTTGCAAAGGCTGATCATCTGCAGAAGGAAGCAACAATGGGGAATCTCTCTTCCTCTCTTCCTCTCTCTCTTCAACAGAGCCTCCATCTTCAGGCCCAGTCTACATCTGAACGCTGGGAGGAAGTCATCACATCTATGTGCCCGCACCGAGATTACAGTCAGTAGGGACTTCTAACTCCTTAATCCTGAAAGCCATTAGTCACCGTTCATTTCATAAAAGTGACATCCTGTGCAAGTGGAGTTTCCTTAGGACTTTGGAGGAGACAATTTTAAAAAAAAGAAAAGAAAGGAAATATGAATTTTCTTCCTTTTTCTTTTTTCTTTTTTGCACACCTCAACCTCACCCCAACCTGGTGTCCACTTTGGATTACAATCCTCTAACCAAATGCTCCCTAGCTGAGTTTCCCAGGAGTAGAGTTCGCTGCGTGGATCTTAACCAGTGGACGCCCCCAAAGTGGA